CAGTAATGTATAGCAAAATATTGACTGTTAAAGAGTTATCAAAAAAAGACTTTAAGCCCCTTTTGATCCCTAATTTGAGTGCCCAGCCCCTTTTTCTTGATTTCATCTTGAAGCTTTTAGGATTTTGAGCACTTTTTGTTCAACAACTATTCAGAGATTCTTTTTCGTTTTCGAGTTATTTGCAAAAGAAATATTTAGGGGTCAACCCTTCAACTCCCTAATGGGGACGTTTAGCGAAAAATGAAAGGTTGCATATTGTTCAAAACATGATTTTGAACATCTTTTGTTCAATATTACTTATCAAAATATTTCTCACTCTCGAGATATAAAGCGTCAAAGATTTGGCATTAAGGCCCCTTGTGGCCCCTAATTATGTACCATACGTCATAAAAATTATAATATATAGCTGTAGATTGTTGAGATAAACATTTTTGCTTCAGTATTATATTACAAAATATTAATTGATAAAGAGTTATCGATTAAAGAGTTCTGGCCCCTTTCTGCCCCTAATGTGATGAGTCAGCGATTTTTTCTTGATATCATCTGAAAGATCTCGTTGTTCTGCACAAATGATGTTCAGTATGTTCTTACAAAATATTTATACTTTAAAAGATATGATGCAAAATGTCTCCAAAATTCACTCTTGATTTGTGTCCTAAATTTTGACCCCTATCGAGCTTCCATACTAGGTACTTCAGGAAACTATCCAAACTCCCAGTAACATGGGGACATGTCCTCTATCATCACTGAAAATTTCAGGGCTCTAGCTCAAGCCGTTTTCGAGAAAATGAACGGACAAGGAGGTCCTCTGAATTTTGATAAAAGGGCGATAACTCTAGACCGGAAGTGATTTTCACAAAATCCTTCAGCCGGTATAAACTTCAGATTATCCTGCAACATCCCTGAAAATTTGAAGCAAATCCATCCAACGATCTCTGAGAAATCTTCTGCACAAAATTTGTGCAGAAAAAAAGAATAATAATAATAAGAAAAGTGAAAAAGAAACATAAGAATAATAGAAGGGTCTTCCGCTGAAGACGGAAGACCCTAATAATAATAAGAATAATAATAATAAGAAACAGAGTAAAAACAATATGTTCCCCAACTTCGTTTGGGGAACATAATAAGGCTTTGTTTACATTATTTTCTAATAAATCCGTTTAAAGGATATAGTTCGCTTTTGTTTCAATTAAGTTGTCTTGTTATTTTTACGTTTTTATTCAATTACACTTTACATAAACGGATTAATCCCTCAATAATTCAGAAAATGCAAGATTCCTTCAAGGTATATCCTTTAATCTTTTTCTCCAGATGGGATGATGGTACATCAGACATCAGCTTTGTTGATGCCTCTTTATCTCTTGACCCTTTGAGGCGATGCGTCTACGAAGACGTACTCTACGGTATGCCACAGTATATAAATGCCCCCATGGAAGACCTTATATTGATTCCACTATTTCTTCTATGTTATTTCAAAGTATTATTTTTAGTTTGTCATGGATTTAACGTACAGATACTTCCGGTCGCGTATTTTCCTGTCCTCAAAATTAGTATTTATTTCCACAATTGCTAGAAAACAGTAAACAACAGAAATCTAAATTTTAAGACCGATTCTCTGTCATCAGTTTAGATGCATCATGTAAAATTGTGTAATGCCATTACTCACTTTCTGACATGAAGTGCAACAAAAAAGATTATTTTTCAAGTTTTTTTTTCTTACTAAATAAGTTTAATGCTAGATCCGACATTAGAAAGGATATGGCCATGCAAATATTTTCGCTAAAACTGCAATCTAAACACCGCGTCATGCAGACGACTCCCAACAGGAAGTAGTATAACGAAAGACCTTCTCATTACTAGTAATAAGTTTCTATTTATTACTCTCAGTTTCCTAAATTTTGTACACGCGATTTCTCAGCAACTGTTCAGTTGTTTTTGTAATGTGCATCTGTAGGAATCACGTAGGCTTCAAGCGGATTATAAAACGTAAACTGACCCAAAACAGATTAAATTATACTCGATAAAGAGCCATTCATTAGGATACTTTATATCGCGATTGCTCAACTTAGCGGAACTCTTTCGCGATGGAGGTAGGAAACGTCTGTTAGGTGGGGACAAATATGCAATTGAATACAATGCAAGATCGGTCATTGTAGAGTTTTTAAGGATATAAGGATAAAAATCCAGATGGAATACCTTGCTTAAAAATTGCTGAACCAGCCTTATTAATTTTTGAGATGAGCTAATCCTAAAATGTTACATTTTTAACTAAGCGGACCTTTCTCATTAAATTTTCATTGAAAATCGTCACATTTCAAAGCTGATAAAATATTCTAAATTTTCCTTAGCTGACAATCGACTATTTGGAATCCAATTCTTGGCAATACATTGTATTTTGGGCATTAAATTGATAAATCAGTTGATTGTTACTACTGTAAACAATGTCATGTGCCCCCAAAATCTAAAGCTTTCTCGACTCTCCCGCAAAAGAGCGGTAGTAAGTTAGATAACTGCGAGGTGCTCGCGACATTACGTATTATTCCCTGATATAACTGTATATGTATTTTCCGAGAACATTCTTGCTATGCTAACAGAGCATGTATGATGCTACTGACTTGTTTAACGTTCGAGAAATAATTATATTTTTCATATTTGAATTTTTAAATATGTTTATAAACAATGTTCAAGGAAACCACATTGTTACAAATTTACAAAAGTGTGAATGAAATGATGTATCAGAAACAACTGAGCTATGTGTCTATGTAGCCTTACTCTAATTCATAATTAACAAAAAATTACAGGAGATGGCCGGAGAACAGAGAATTGCAATAGGAGATGTGACAATTTGGTTTGTATGAAGAGGACTGGCTCAGACGAGCTTGTCACCACGGCTAGGTACACGCCTGTGCGATCCGGGGGCTGTCCTTCAGGCTTTGTAGAATCTCCGATAAGTGAGTAGTTTAGCTAATTCATTTACATGATCACTGAAATGTTTTCACATTGAAACATACCAGCACAAAATATACTTTCTAGGAATGTCTTTCCATTCCTATTTGTTTTCTCTGTGATAACTCCTTGAAATTAAAGTTAGTGGAGTTGATTTCTTGACAATTTTACCAGAATGTAAATTAGACAAATCGATAGGCTAGTAAATCGATAGGTGTACTAGCTAAGGAACTTTGATACGCATATATTTCCATTTCTAATTTTTCTCTCTGTGATAACTCCTTGAAAGTTAGCGGAGTTAATTTCTAAATAATTCTACCGGAATGTAAATTAATTAGACAGGTTAATAGGTCAGGAGCTAAGGGGCCTAATATGTATGCAAATCTCGTGCGCATCTGTCTCTGAGTCTGACGCTAAGGAGGCCAAATATGCTTGAAATTCTCGTGTGGCTGTCATTGTGTTTGACGTCAGTGGGCGAGGACTATTGAAACTGGGATGGGAATCCTCGTGTAATTTAAATTTATGTCTGCATTTCTAAAGACCAAATCTACAATTTTATTTCATTAGGAAATGGAAATATAAGGAATCACTGTCTAGTTAGAATAGTATAGAATGTCAGGGACATCAACAATAGTGGAAAACATGGGATAATTGATGCATAACGGGCTCATCTTTCCCACTATTGTTGATACCCTGGCATACTATACTAACTAGACAATGATTCCTTAAGTAAATCTCGTGCGCGTCAGTCTTTGTGTTTGACGCTATGGAGGCCAAATATGAATGTAAATCTCCTGTGATTGTCTTTGTTTCTTACGTCAGTGAGTGGATGAGGACTATTGAAGTTGACATGGGAGTAATTCAAATATATAAGTCTAACTTACATTTTTAAAATCTAAATCTACAATTTTATTTCACAATGATACTACACTAAATAGACATTGATTTTAATTAACAGATAACAAATGTTACAAGATAGTTCAGGACTCGAGATTAAACTTTAGACAGGCAAAGTATTCGTGTAGCGTTCTAGGAAAAGACTTTTCTCTTGTTTCAATTCATTCAGCGATGGAAAATGGTGAGACCAAATTTTTATTTAATCTTGTGCATTTTTAAAAAAATGAATGTGACTTCATATTTATATAAGCTAACTCTACATATGTGATATTTGTATTACTCGAAAATAATTTTCACTTTTTTGATTAAGTGGCTGACATATTAGAACTTATAACATGAATTTACTGGTCTTTTTATAAATTGTTAACAGCTTTCATAGAGCTTCAGTTTGATACTACGAAATCAAAGAATTTGTGGATTGGACTCTTTGATAATAATTATTATTATGATAAACGTTATTTCATTTGGATGGACAATTCCCGCGTAGACTTCACAAACTGGGCTAGAGGGGAACCAAACTCACTTACCGTAAGATTCACCCTGAAAGCAATATGAACTGCATTTTTGAAAATTTTATTGTGCTGTTTCAATGTAATATTCTATTAAATTTGTACTTAACTTAAACCTTTATGATGAATTAGACTAAAATAAAGCAGAAGAAAGACTTACAATCCAATATACAGATTTATGTACTAAGAATCATTATTGTATAGAACGACAATTATGTAATTTTGATTCAATCAAAGCTTATAAATAGTTCTTCCATCGCAAATGTGATCAACAGACGTTCATTAACGTTAATTTTTCTGTCAATGAAATAGTTATTTACAATTTTGCAGCAAAATATTCTGTTATCAAAGTTGTAGCTCATATTGCTTTAAGTTTAGCAAATATATCTATTCGAATTCATTAAGATAACCACACAAAACAGAAACATCAATTTTAATGATTTAAAATACAAATGTTTCCAGTATGTTATGCCTGTGTAAAGACGAATCATGACCCCGTAGAATAATGACCGGGGTCATTTTTCAACGACAGAAAATACCCCCCACCCGTTAAAAATATCATTTTTTTTTTGTTTTTGTAGAAAAAGAGCCACAGGGGTCATTATTTTATATGCGAGTCCTATAAAGAATTGACCCCCGTTTAAAAATGCCCCCATTTAGAGTGAACCAAAATTTTAAAGTTTATATTGATGCGAAACATCAAATCACCAAAAAATATTTCATTTGAGTATTTCAAAGAATTTTTATAACGAATCCGTTGAAATTAAAAAAAAAATACATGTACATGTACTCTGCATGGTACATGTATATCTCTGTAAAATTTTCAGTGTAGACCAAACGTTGGTGCAACGGCAACATGATGGACGTGCAACATGCTGATGTCGTAGGTCTTTGTCATGTTATGTGATAATGACGATGTTTTATCATATTAAAAGATTAAAAATCGTTGTCATTTGAAAATGTAATAATTAATGTTCTCAAAACAATATTTAATTATGCCATTTTTCTTAAAAATGTGTATAAGTTAGTTAATTTAGGCACTAGTACTGTTATTCATATCCAGAAACTCAATACGTTTGAATTCCATGTCTTATGTACTTTCATCTTGGGGAGAGTTCAGGTGAACGACTTTTTTATATAAAATCATAAATCCATGAATATCTGTGGAGAATTAGAAAAAGAAACAAATTAAAACCTTAAAATAACCATTAAGGCACAGTATTTAGCAAATTTTCAAAACTTTTATTTATTACTTTTATGTTTGTTATTAAAAAAAGATTAGAATTATTTCATCGAGGCAATGAAATAATAACGCACGTGCACATTCTAACACAACCAACACTTATTGATCCGACACTTATTTTGGATCTCACAGAGCAAAACATAAATTTTCCCCTATAATCATATGGGAAGCGGGGGTATCATCTAGTGAGCTCATAACACACAGTACCTCTAGTTTTGACTGTCTAATGGGTTGTTTAGATACTTTACGGGTATATGTGCGAAGTATGTACATGTATAACAAAAGGAATGGTTTTCATTTAATTTTTATGGCGTCGGGCTTGCCCGATCGTCATCTAGCGATCAGTCAGGTTTACGCGACCGCATGTGTCAGTGGATGCATCCGCAATAGAAAATAGCAACAGCTGTAAACCAATTTCTTTTAAAACTTTCACAATGAATAATGGCTTGAATATAAAATTAAATCAATTGTATCTTCAATTAATACTACTACAAAACAACGATATTATGTTTAATTTTTACGCAAGAAAAACAAAATGGTTGTTGCGGATGAATTTCTACTGAGAGCTAGGGTGCTTCGAATGACATGAATCACATTTTGGGACCGATTACTGTAATCAAACAATCTTAAATACGGTAAAATAATTACAAATAAACACGTATACAACAAGACTAAAAAGATTGAATTTCTTAATCTTAGCTTTACTTTTACGATCTTCAATCCAATTTTAGCCGAACAACCTACGATATTGACCAGTAATGCCAGTATTACTGTATTTATCCATTTCCTCCATTTGTTTACCGCGCCTTATCGTAAGTCGATCGTACTTGTAACATTAGAGTCATGGTTATAGTTAAGATGCAATCACTATACAACAGAACAACACTCTGACAATGGCAATGAATTAAAATAATTTATGAAACCCTTCATATGTCCTCGATTGACTGAAAAGAAATTAGATTGATATAGAGGATGGACATTTCTGACGATGTCTGGTCAATTCGAACCCTGACTCATTCGGACCAGGACACAAGGCTACCAGGCCCTATACTGTATTTATGTTAAGTCTATTTTATTTTATTTTATTATTATGTTACTGGAGTCACTCACTTGACCTATTTGCAGATCTTTTGTAATTGTTTTTCTTGTTCGACGCCATTGAAGCCTTTCAGGCTTTTGATTCATATTTTGCTTTGAGACGGTATGAAGAAAACGTTACAAAAATGAAATGAAATATTCTGATTTTCATATTAAAACGCTCTAAAAATATACACAGAACAGAGTGAAAGGGTGGAACAAAACAAGATTAAAGCTAGAGGTACTGTGAGCACTGAGCTCAGTAAGAGGTACCCCCTCCTGCCTTCCATTTGATTATAGTAGAAAATTCCTTGCTTACCTCTGGGGAATTTTTCGCCGTAGAATAATAACCGGGAGTCATTTTTCGTCGTAGTCTACGGTCATTATTCGTCATTACACCTTCAGTAATCAAGATGCCCTTATAGTTTTGAAAAGTTAAAAAACTTTTTATTTTAAATATTTCATTAATTTTGTTTTAGGAAGGTTGTGCGGAGATGAGAGTCAAGGATGGAAGTTGGAATTCTATATCTTGTTTTTTAAATAGGAGTTACATTTGTCAGACAAACAAAGGTAAAAGGAGTAACATTTGTCAGACAAACAAAGGTAAACGGAGTTATAATTGTCAAACAAACAAAGGTAAAAGGAGTAACATTTGTCAGACAAACAAAGGTAAACAGAGTTATAATTGTCAAACAAACAAAGGTAAAAGTAGTTACATTTGTCAGACAAACAAAGGTAAACGGAGTTATAATTGTCAAACAAACAAAGGTAAAAGGAGTTACATTTGTCAGACAAACAAAGGTAAACGGAGTTATAATTGTCAAACAAACAAAGGTAAAAGGAGTAACATTTGTCAGACAAACAAAGGTAAACGGAGTTATAATTGTCAAACAAACAAAGGTAAAAGGAGTAACATTTGTCAGACAAACAATGGTAAACGGAGTTATAATTGTCAAACAAACAAAGGTAAAAGGAGTAACATTTGTCAGACAAACAAAGGTAAACGGAGTTATAATTGTCAAACAAACAAAGGTAAAAGGAGTAACATTTGTCAGACAAACAAAGGTAAACGGAGTTATAATAGTCCAATCCACACTTTGCAAAAGTTGTTTCCCTTTGCGGGGTCAACCAAAAGGTCAAAAGGGAAAGAAACGTCATTTCTCCTCTTTGTGCTACCAAATATTTGGACGTGCTGTGAAAAATCCATTGTGTTTATTTTTTTTTCTTTTAATGTGTGGGTAGCCCCATCTTGGGGCAATCAGTGCACAAAAGGCAGAGCTTTTTTAAAGTCAAATGACGAAGTTACAAACCTGAAAACTACAAAGGCTACTGTGTGGATTGTATGGCTTTATCCTCTAAGATGGCGGCCAAGGGACATAACTTTTGAAAAGTGTGGATTGGTCTATTGTCAAACAAACAAAGGTAAAAGGAGTTACATTTGTCAGACAAACAAAGGTAAACGGAGTTATAATTGTCAAACAAACAAAGGTAAAAGGAGTAACATTTGTCAGACAAACGAAGGTAAACGGAGTCATAATTGTCAAACAAACAAAGGTAAAAGGAGTAACATTTGTCAGACAAACGAAGGTAAATGGAATTATGATTGTCAGACAAACAAAGGTAAAAGGAGTTATAATTGTCAAACAAACAAAGGTAAAAGGAGTAACATTTGTCAGACAAACAAAGGTAAACGGAGTTGTAATTGTCAAACAAACAAAGGTAAAAGGAGTAACATTTGTCAGACAAACAAAGGTAAACGGAGTTGTAATTGTCAAACAAACAAAGGTAAAAGGAGTAACATTTGTCAGACAAACAAAGGTAAACGGAGTTATAATTGTCAAACAAACAAAGGTAAAAGGAGTTACATTTGTCAGACAAACAAAGGTAAACGGAGTTATAATTGTCAAACAAACAAAGGTAAAAGGAGTAACATTTGTCAGACAAACAAAGGTAAAGGAGTTATAATTGTCAAACAAACAAAGGTAAAAGGAGTAACATTTGTCAGACAAACAAAGGTAAACGGAGTTATAATTGTCAAACAAACAAAGGTTAAAGGAGTAACATTTGTCAGACAAACAAAAGTAAATTTATTTAGAAAACGATCGTCTCTATATGCCATTTATAACCAGGTTATAGTAAATTATTTACTCTGGGATAAAGGAATCCCGATAGATTATGTGAGAGCAAGTTTTTTCAAATGAAAATAATGTTTTTAATGTATTACAACAAAATCTAACATGACCGACATAAAATAAAAGTAACGTTACAAAAGTGAGAGAAAAAGATATTCTATACTAGAATGACTTTGAATATTACATGGTTGTTGGTATAGACATCACACGGGGCTGATTCTGATTCTCTTGGGTCTTTAGAGGTTACTCGGGACTGATTTTCTTGGGTCTGTAGACATTACTCGGGACTGATTCTCTTGGGTCAGTAGACATTACTCGGGACTGATTCTCTTGGGTTTGTGGACGTTACTCGGGACTGATTCTCTATGGTTTGCAGACATTACTCGGGACTGATTCTCTTGGGTCTGTAGACATTACTCGGGACTGATTCTCTTGGGTTTGTAGACATTACTCAGGACTGATTCTCTTGGGTTTGTAGACGTTACTCAGGACTGATTCTCTTGGGTTTGTAGACGTTACTCGGGACTGATTCTCTTGAGTTTGTAGACATTACTCAGGACTGATTCTCTATGGTTTGCAGACGTTACTCAGGACTGATCTCTATGGTTTGTAGACGTTACTCGGGACTGATTCTCTTGAGTTTGTAGACATTACTCAGGACTGATTCTCTTGGGTTTGTAGACATTACTCGGGACTGATTCTCTTGGGTTTGTAGACGTTACTCGGGACTGATTCTCTTGGGTTTGTAGACGTTACTCGGGACTGATTCTCTTGGATCTGTAGACATTACTCGGGACTGATTCTCTATGATTTGTAGACGTTACTCGGGACTGATTCTCTATGGTTTGTAGACGTTACTGGGGACTGATTCTCTTGGGTTTGTAGACGTTACTCGGGGCAGATTCTCTTAGGTTTGTAGATGTTACTCGAGACTGATTCTCTTGGGTTTGTAGACATTACTAGGGACTGATTCTCTATGGTTTGCAGACGTTACTCAGGACTGATCTCTATGGTTTGTAGACGTTACTGGGGACTGATTCTCTTGGGTTTGTAGACGTTACTCGGGACTGATTCTCTATGATTTGTAGACGTTACTCGGGACTGATTCTCTTGGGTTTGTAGACATTACTCAGGACTGATTCTCTTGGGTTTGTAGACATTACTCGGGACTGATTCTCTTGGGTCTGTAGACATTACTAGGGACTGATTCTCTATGGTTTGCAGACGTTACTCAGGACTGATCTCTATGATTTGTAGACATTACTCGGGACTGATTCTCTTGGGTTTGTAGACGTTACTCGGGGCAGATTCTCTTGGTTTGTAGACATTACTCGGGGCAGATTCTCTTGGGTTTGTAGACGTTACTCGGGACTGATTCTCTTGGGTTTGTAGACGTTACTCGGGACTGATTCTCTATGGTTTGCAGACGTTATTCGGGACTGATTCTCTTGGGTTTGTAGACATTACTCAGGACTGATTCTCTTGGGTTTGTAGACGTTACTCGGGACTGATTCTCTATGGTTTGCAGACGTTACTCGGGACTGATTCTCTTGGGTCTGTAGACGTTACTCGGGACTGATTCTCTTGGGTTTGTAGACATTACTCGGGACTGATTCTCTTGGGTTTGTAGACGTTACTCGGGACTGATTCTCTATGGTTTGCAGACGTTACTCGGGACTGATTCTCTTGGGTCTGTAGACGTTACTCGGGACTGATTCTCTTGGGTTTGTAGACATTACTCAGGACTGATTCTCTTGGGTTTGTAGACGTTACTCGGGACTGATTCTCTATGGTTTGTAGACGTTACTCGGGACTGATTCTCTTGGGTTTGTAGACGTTACTCGGGACTGATTCTCTTGGGTTTGTAGACGTTACTCAGGACTGATTCTCTTTGGTTTGCAGACGTTACTCGGGACTGATTCTCTATCGTTTGCAGACGTTACTCAGGACTGATTCTCTTGGGTTTGTAGACATTACTCGGGACTGATTCTCTTGGGTTTGTAGATGTTACTACGGGCTGATTCTCTTGGGTCTGTAGACGTTACTACGGGCTGATTCTCTTGGGTTTGTAGACGTTACTCGGGGCAGATTCTCTTGGGTTTGTAGACGTTACTACAGGCTGATTCTCTTGGGTTTGAAACCGTTACTCGGGACTGATTCTCTGGGGGTTTTGGATAATTTTTGACCCTGTAAGGATAGTTTGTCCATCTTAAATCTATTATTTTTTACCTTGACTTCTTGGATTACTTTGACATTAGATTAAATATACAACTTCTCATTGATGGGATATTTAAATATCCTAAAGTGCAAAAACATAATTTAGCCATTAAAAAAAATAATGAAATACCTCATCTTTGAAAAAGAAATTTTTTAGTTGTTTTCTTTTACATACAGCCTTGAGATATCCGACTCAAGCTGCAGTAGTCTCCAGCTGTCCCAGTGGTTACACCAGCAGTGCTGGCAGCTGTTTCCGGGTCATTGATTCTGCTATGGACTTTAATGCGGCGCAAGCAACCTGCCAGGTGGATGGCGCAAGCCTGGCTTCAATAAACTCAGCATATGAGCAAATGTCCATTGAAATAATTAGCAAAAACATTCCTGGAGCTTTATGGATTGGATTGAGGCATCAGGTTTGTAAAGCCCAGAATTAAAAGATTACTGTTATTCTTAAACTAGACTTGTTTTGATGAACAGTTACTGTAACTGAATCCTGGCACTGGCGTTATTTTGCTAAACATTCTTAATTTATGTACTAGTATGTAATTCAAGATACAGCCTTCAAATCTTAACGCAAGTAAGTTACGGTTATGTATAGTTTCTATGTAATGAACTAATTATTTAAAACGCATACGTGCTGTACCTTATTGCATGCACAGAAAAGGTTAGAACTTGTTTTTTATACAAATTTTGTAACTACTACATGCGCTAGCCAGTGCACATTATGATGTCATATTATGACGTCATAGTCCTGTACTACATATTTTTAGAAGGAAAATGAACAAAGTAGCTTCGGCACAAGGGTATACCCAACTTTGTTCTTCAGAAGCAAGGAATAAATAGATGCATAATATTACATGGATTTATTATATTGCTGCACAAATGTCAACATTGCAATTGTTTAGTTAACTATTTCAAAAGTTTTAAGTTAAAACAGGGTAAAAAAAATCAGTGTCCGGTGTACGTTGCCTAAACTTTTATCGATTGAGAAAATGCATAGGATTTGTGCTGCAATTTCATTAATATTTAAAACATTTCTCTTAATGTTATAAACTATTTATCAAAAATTAAACAGGATGTGCCCTTATTTCGACGTTGTTTTGTTGATGTATTTATAACCTTGAATGGAAAAGATCAATGACGTTCTAACATGACGTCATAATGTGCAGTTGCTTGATCATGCTGTGGGTTCTAAGTATGCATACAAAGGATTTCTGTTTGCGTGATTTGTTATTGGCTTTATCCAACGAGTTGAAATGGTGTATATATTCGCGAGGCCTTCTAAAAATATGTAGTACAGGACTATGACGTCATAATATGACATCATAATGTGCACTGGCTAGCGCATGTAGTAGTTACAAAATTTGTATAAAAAACAAGTTCTAACCTTTTCTGTGCATGCAATAAGGTACAGCACGTATGCGTTTTAAATAATTAGTTCATTACATAGAAACTATACATAACCGTAACTTACTTGCGTTAAGATTTGAAGGCTGTATCTTGAATTACATACTAGTACATAAATTAAGAATGTTTAGCAAAATAACGCCAGTGCCAGGATTCAGTTCATCCATTTCAATGCAGATAAGCAGTCAAGGTGACCAGACGTGTTTTTTACAGCTCCTGAAGATCTTATCTCTACTTAGCTTAACAATGGAATAATAATGAGTTTGAGTGATAATTCTAATCTTTTCAAGTCACTTTTGGACTCATTTACCGGATTTTCAAGATCATTTATTTTAACTAATGATCTGCCAATGGAATCTGTGGGACTTAGTGTAAATAATGTGCCAAATTTCTTGCAAGTACAGGAAAATCAGGAAAGTGTTACAATTACTTTCGATGGCGACAAGTACTCCATCATTTTAGATCTGTTGGAGAAGAAACTCTTATTATTCAAAGACAGCAATGAAAGGCGACATGGATCTATTTATAAATCACAGGATAAAACTGTCACTGTTACCATCTACGAGACAACAAGCTCTCTACATATCCAAGGGGAGTCGTATTTTTCTTGGTATCAGGAGTTCCTCACGGACTTGAATAAATTGGATGTAAATTTGGAAACAAATTGTAAGACTTTAGATGAAACATCTCCTCAATGCACCTCCACCCCTAAGGGTAAGACATCACAGAATTGTCATCAGTGTATTAGCAGTGCCAAACTTATTCAGGAATTGTCTGATACCGTCAAGCTTTTGTCACAAGAAGTCAGTGACCTAAAACAGCAACTAAATGGGTCAAAAAATGTCACATCGCTTGTTTCAAGAGCTATCCAAACAACTCCTAATAGGACAAAACAAAAGGAGACATCAACAGACGGACTCCTTCACATTCCAGCTGGTGTATCAAGGCATACCCAATGCACCCTTAAAGCTCCTACAATATCCAATAGTACCATGACAGATGCAAGTGAAGCTCATACTAAGAGTTTTCCTACCTCGCCAGATTCAAACACCAAACATGGAACAAATCAACCTAGAAAGATCCCAACGGATAAATCTGTCCTCATCATAGGAAGTTCCATACTACAAAGGATCCGCACCAGAGGATTGCGTTCAACTGTGCAGGTCAGCACAAATCGCGGGGCAAACATCTCCCATATACGGTCCAAGCTCTCAAAAATGGATGTTTCTTCATATCGTAGTGTAATCATCTATGCTGGCGGAAATGATGCATCTAGACGACGAGACCCAGAGGCAATAGAAAATGATTTCGCAGAAGTAATCACAGATCTCAGAAATCGGAATTCTAGTATCAGTGTATTTATCTCGGAAGTATTACCAAGGCGTGATATAAACACCAGTGAAGTTACTGGAATTATTAAAAGTGTATGTGAAATGTATGGTGGTACAGTGATTCCAACTTCTAAATTCTTTGGTCGTGGAAATCCCAAACAAGAGTATTATTGGAAAGACAACATTCATCTGTCAGACAGAGGTACAGCAGAACTGCTAAAAATTTTCCATCAATACGTGAGTATCCTCAAAGTCGGAAACGTACGTACGAATGGTGAAGAATCGGAAATACTTGGCAGTACTTCCTTCCGCCGTCCAGCCTTCTGTTATTTCTGTGGAGAAAGTGGACACATATCACGATACTGCAGACATGGAAGAAAGTTGGACTGCTGGAATTGTGGGGAACTAGGTCATAAAACCAAGCTTTGTCCGAATGGACACTAGGAAACTGGCAACGGATGTGTAGCCGACCATAGTTCCCAAACGATTTCTCTTGACAACAATGTTTATTCGACTCTTAGTAGATTATGTTCAGAATGTAATAAGATCCACTGTTCATGCAAACAATGTGAATATTTTTCTCTAGATCTTGTAACAAATTCAAAAAATTTAATTACTTCACCAAATACTTCTAAATTCTCAAAACCAGACAAGAATACTCATAGATTTCATACCAAGAAGGTTTCACAATCTGCTAATCATACTATATCTAAAAATGAGAATATACATGTACCACATGTTCCGAGCAATAATGGGTTTGGTTTGGTGAAAAAAGGTCTAAGATTTGGAAATCTAAACATATGCCACTTATTGCCTAAAATTGAAGAAATTAAACTATTACTTCATGACAAACAAACTGTAAATATATTAGGACTTTGTGAAACCTTCTTGAATGACCAAGTCAGTGATTCTGAATTGTATATTGAGGGTTTCGATATGGAAAGAAAAGATCGCATTCTGAGAGCAGGTGGTGGAATTATTGTCTACATTTCTAATAATATAAGATATAAACGTAGGCCTGATTTTGAAATCAGTAATATTGAAACAATTTGGCTGGAATTAAAGATTAAAAATTCTAAACCAATTCATTACTGTTCAGCATATCGTCCACCATCTGCTCCCTCCTGCTGGGCAGAGGACCTGGCTAGAGAGATTAACTGTGCCTCCTGCTGTGACGATGCAGAAATTATCTTAACAGGTGACTTTAATGTAGACTTATTCAAAGAACCCCCACAAAGTTGGACATTTGCTATGGAAGAGTATGGTTTTTCACAATTGATTACAGCACCAACCAGAGTAACTAATGCCTCAAGTACCCTAATAGATCACTTTTACACCAATAAACCAGATAACATGTGTGAAGTAAATATACCTTTTATAGCCATCTCTGATCACTACCCAATATGTGCCACTAGAAAAACAAAATGCATGCAACAAAAAGGAAAACACATAGAAATTCAGTATAGAGACTTCAAAAAGTTTGATGAAAATAAATTCCTCCAAGACTTAAAACAAATAGAATTTAACAATCTCCTCCAGATGCATGACCCTAATGAAATACTAACTGAATTCTATGAATTATTTAATAGCGTACTTGACCAGCATGCACAGGTTAAAACAAAACGAGTAAAGAGTGAAATCCGTCCTAAATGGATGACACAAGAAATAAACAATGCTAGACATTTACGGGACTATTACCACAAAGAAGGAGACATGGAGAACTATAGAATTTATCGAAACAAAGTTAGCGTTCTTATAAACAAATCAAAATCTTCTTACTATAAAACAGCGATTGAACAGAGTTCAAATCCCAAAGAAATGTGGAACTATCTTAATCAATTAACATGTAATCTTAAGAATACAACTCCATCTCATGTGTCTTCTAATGGTGAAATTGTTGACAATTTACAGGATATTGCAAATACTTTTAATAACCACTTTACGGATGTCTCTAACAAGCTTCTATTGGATATGCCAAAACATGATTATGATCCTAATATATTATGTAATTTTGTTAGGTCTAAGCTTGATGAAGAATCATTGTTTAGTATTCATCAAATTGAGGAAAGTGAAGTTTATAACATGTTAAATTCTCTAAATATCAATAAATCAGCTGGCATTGACTTCATTGGGCCACGTCTTCTGAAAGTCACATCTAAATATATATGTAAACCTATAACTCATCTTATTAACGCTAGCATAGCAAGTGGTATTTTCCCGACAAATTTAAAACAAGCCAAAGTAACACCTATTTTTAAGAAAGGTGACAAAGCTGATCCGAATAATTATCGTCCTATTTCTATTCTACCAACCATATCTAAATTGATAGAAAAACATGTAGCTAAGCTAATACAAAATTTCACTAATGAATTTGATCTACTAACACAATCCCAGTCGGGGTTTAGGGAACTCCATTCCTGTCAAACTTCACTTACAAAACTAACAGAAAGTTGGCTTACTGCAATGGATCGTGGTGAATTAATCGGTATAGCATTTATAGATTTTAGTAAAGCATTTGATTTAGTGAATCATGATATTCTTCTAGAGAAATTAACCCATTACAAATTTGACCAAACAGCTATAAAGTGGTTTAAATCATATCTTTACGATAGGACCCAGTGTGTTAAATTTGGATCATGTGTCTCCAATATTCTACCCGTCACAGCAGGAGTGCCACAAGGGTCAATTTTGGGCCCACTTTTATTTTTATTGTACATAAATGACCTTCCATTACATGTAAACAATTCAAATATTGATATGTTTGCTGATGATGTAACTCTGTATTCTAATAATAATAATGCAAGATGTTTAGAAAATACACTAAGTTCAGATCTTTGTGAGATTGAGAAATGGTGTGCTCAAAATCAAATGGTTTTAAATGTAGATAAAACAAAATGTATGTTAATGGGAACACAGCAAAGAAAATTAAAATTAGATAATCCAAATTTACAACTTTATGCCTCAGACAAAACAATTGAAATGGTTGAAACTGAAAAAATTCTTGGTGTACATATTGATGATAAGTTACAGTATGCAAATCATATTGACTCGGTTTGTAAAACGATAAATTATAAGTTATTTACTCTTCGAAGGATTAAGAAATTTCTCCCTCTACATACCAGAAAACTATATTACAATGCTTATATTTTACCATCTATTAACTATTGTTTGACTATCTGGGGTAATGCCCCCAAGCAGGACATGGACAGACTATTTAAATTACAGAAAAGGGCAGCAAGGATTATTCTTGACGCAAGTCCAGATTCTTCTTCTAAACCACTGTTTGAGAAACTTGGATGGTTAACAGTTTATGAGCTAGTTGATCTATACAAATACATATTATTATACAAAATTTTCAGTGGAACGACTCCCCAATATCTTTGTAATTTATTTGAATTTCATTCTTCTACTTCTTATAATCTACGATCTGAAAGTAATTATGATCTAAGATTGCCGAAATTTCGTACAAACTTATTCAAGACATCTTTTCAGTATTCAGGTGTACATCTATGGAATAAACTTCCCCAACACATTAGATTCTCTCAATCTCTACGAACATTTAAGCGTAATATAGAAAATTACATCATCAGCTGTCGCACAATTTTTTGAGGACAATAAGGTTTCGATATTGTATATTGTATTATGATTGTTAAAACTATAGATGGACATTATATATTCATAATCGTATGATTGTAATTCCTTAAACATATTATTACTATTATATATGATGAATTGTATTCTGTATTATTTTTTGTATTTGATATATAAAGAAGGCCCTGGGGAAGAATAGTGCATGCACTAACCAGGTTACCTTCTTTAAATAAAGTATTTATTATTATTATTATTATTATTAATATCTAATCACACATCTATAGATGTTCTATTTATCTCACACGAATTTCGTTTTAACAAAACCTTGAGACTTCCCCTGTGAAACTACATGAATGATTGCTAATTCAAATTTGATGACGTATATTTTGATGACCTAGCACCGTTGATGTTGACATTCCTCGAAAGAAAGTAGATCGTGTTCAAAATTTAGAATTTTTGCTATCTGCGTCTTTGAAAACATTATGTGACAATTGCCGGAGCTTTACATCAAGCAAACTTCTGACTGAAAGTTGTAAGGACCATGGGATCGTGAAAATTAACTCTTTGTACGGTGGCAGTACAAAACGTGCAAGGTTAGGCCTACTTTTAGATTCATTGTTGATCCATAGTATGTTAGAAAGCATTATTGAAGGTGCTAAAGAAATCTTATAACAATAACTAAACTGCTAGGCTTTTCTCTCTTCGATAACAATTTAAATGAAGGAGGGGGGTGACATCCGACTTCAAGTAGCCAATACAGGTTCCTTCAGTTGATAAAATAAGGCACTTATTTGACTTTCATATACCAGTCTTTTTCTTGCTTTTAAGGTATTATTGCTCTTTATCATTCATTTTATAAGGGTAATAATTTTCACAAATAAAATTTTCAATAAAATAAAATCTTGAATGAAGGGATCGTGCCAAGGCCTGAAGTGCTATTGCAAAAAGCATCTACCCGTAGATAAAGCATACATGTAAGTTTATCTCAGTAGTATCCCCCACAAGTATGAGATAAAAGAAAATAAGTGTAAAGGTTCTCTGCGTAAAATTAACACAAATTATGCATTCTCATAAGCTCTTTTGCATATAAACGCCAAAACCTAGCCTTCACTCACTTGCGAAATGATTTTCAGGGTGATGTTCATTTTTGGCTGGACGGCTGGCCATACAGATACTCCAAGTGGGCAGCACATGAACCAACTTCAAAGCCAGGCGAGAATTGTACAGTGTTAATTAATACGGAGTGGAAGGACACACAGTGTGACCTTAAGTATCCCTCTATTTGTGAATACACAACAGGTATATAATACAATCTTTTAGTGGCAACAGAATATTGTTATTTGGTTTTAGCTGAGCTGAAAGCTGAAGTGTTCTTTACTGATCATATTTTATCCGTCTCTCTGTCTGTCTACCTTTTTTTTTTTAATGCTTTATTTCCATGCTTTCAACACAAACATCAAATACATTTATCAAAATTTGCACAGAAATTTTTTCACACCCACCCACTTTCGCACTTCACTCATACTTATATCAACAATACATCAATTTTAGCAAATTTTTACACACTTTATGTGGATAAAACAGGAGACAGAAAAAGTATGCTACATTTGATCTAAATATGTTTTTTTTTTCAGAGGATTTACATTTCCAACATAGTTTTCCAATGTGACCATGTAGACTCAAAATTTTCTGCAGTTAGATTTTTAACAGATATGTACTTCTCAACCTTATAATACATTTTTAAATGGGCAATCAGCCCATTTAAATTAGGCTTCTTTGCATTTTTTAAGCAGTAAAAAATGTACTGTTTAGCATATAAAATTAGAAAATTTATGACATAGTTTGAATTTGACAAAGGTAACTCTCCAAAGATTACATTTTGAATATTAAAACCTACACGTTTTGATGTGTAATTGTAAATATGTAGTCTAAGATCATTCCAAATATGCATTACATCTTTACATATATGGTTTCACATTCACTGTTACAGAATGTACAAGTATCGTTTTCTTTTATTTTAATTTTTAAGGTAATAATTTGCAGGTAGTATTCTGTGCAAAATTCTAAATTGTAGCCACTGGACAGCTGAATTTGAAGACACCTTAAAGCACACATTAAAAACATCTCTCAATTCCATTTCTTGAAATCCTTTTAGAAGCATTTCTGAATTCCATTTTGAAAAACCAGTTGGCTTTACATTCTTTGTGTTAATATTTTTATAAATATCTTTTGAACATTTATCAATCAATATTAATCTTTTGTATAACAATGGCAAAAATGGGCGCTGTAGCTTTGAGAAACCTACCCTAGAAAATTTTGAATCTTTTAAAAACTTTGAAATAGCACTTATAATGCTGTTATACTGCATAAAACATACATGATGAATGCTATGTTTTTTCACAAAATTCTCTCTAGATAAAAATGACCCATTGACATCCAAAAAATCATCAATAATTTTTACACCATTTTTATACCATTCTTTATAAAAAATACTCTTTTTATTCACTTTGATACAAGAGTTTAGCCAAACTGGGGTTGATAAAATTTCAGACTGTGTAAGATTTGCCTTGTCAAAACAATTATCAGTGATGACAGATAACCAAGACTCTAAGACATCTTTCCAAAATTTGTTTTTTGTACATTTCAACATTTTCAACACAAAATCATCACCCAAATTCAAAATCTTTTCCACCACATCTTGCCCATAAACTATTTCAAAAATACTCAACCATGAATGACTTCCTTTAATAATTCTTTGAATCCATGAACATTTTAGAGAAAGTATAAAATTTTTAAGATGTACCATGTTAAGGCCTCCCAATGTCTGGTGTTGCGTAGCAACAACACGTTTTATTTTATCACTTTTTGACCCCCATACAAATCTAAACAACTGCTGTGTTAAATTGTCTAAGATTTCTTCATTTGGATTTGGTAATGAGATAAATAGATGGTTCAATTTTGGTACAATTAAAGTTTTTGCAACTGTTACCCGTCCAATGGGAGTTAGAATACGTCTTTTCCATTGCTGAATCATTGAAGTGATTTTTGGCAATTGGACTTTGAAATTTATATCAACAATCTTTTCTAGGTCGACAGAGAAATTTATTCCTAGCAAGGAGAAAGTTGTTGCCCCCCAATCTAGCTTCCATCTTGAATGGTGGAAAACCTCAGCAGAAAATTTTTTTGAGCCTATCCAAATAATTTTAGTTTTTGTACTGTTTATTTTCAAACCTGAAAATTTTGCATATAATTCTAATGTATCAAGAGCAGCATACAAAGAACCTGCAGAACCATCAAGGGCAAGAGAAGTATCATCAGCAAATTGAGATAATTTGTGTTCCTTATCATTTACAACAATACCCTTTATATCATGATTTTGTTTAATAAGAATGGCTAAAATTTCTGCACAGAGAAGAAAAATGTATGGAGAAACAGGGTCTCCCTGGCGACATCCACGCTGGACTGGAAATTGCTTAGAAAGAAAACCGCTTTGGAGTATAGAAGCTTCAAAATTTGTGTTTAAAATTTTAATCCATTTAATTATATTTTTACCAAAACCAAAAAAGTGTAAAACCTTGTAAACAACAGACCATGAAATGGAATCAAAGGCCTTCTCAAAGTCAATGAGAACCAACAATCCCGGTATATTATTTATTTCAGTATAAGACATAAGATCATAAATAAATCGTGTGTTTTCCCCAATATATCTCCCTTTCATAAATCCTGTTTGTGTTTCTGAAATTAGAAGATCGAGTGTAGATTTTATTCTATAACTAATACAACCAGATATTAACTTATAGAATACGTTTAACAGAGTTATTGGTCTCCAGTTTTTTAAGAGATGTCTTGGCTTGTCTCCTTTTGGCAAACAAGATATTATACCAAGTCTCTGGGATATTGGAAGCTGTGTCTGAAGAAATATTTGATTTATTGCTTTTAAGATAAACATTTTAAGATCATTCCAGAAAAACTTAAAGAATTCAGTTGTGAATCCATCACTTCCGGGTGATTTATTATTATTCATATTTTTCAGTACCAGAAAAACCTCCTCTTCTTCTATATCTTTATCTAGGATTAATGTTGTTTCTATGTCTAATTTTGGAACATTGTGGTATTGAATGGTATTAGAGAGATCTACGTCTATCAATTCAGAATCTGCGTTTTTATATAAAGTTTCATAATAATTTTTTACTTCGTTTAGAATATCAGATTGTTTATATATAATACCTTTGTCTAGAGTTTCTACCTTTTTTATTGTTTTGTTCAGAAAATTTCTAGACTCAAGATGACAGAAATATTTTGTTGGCTTTTCCCCTTCTTCCACCCACTTGGCTCTAGATCTGATCATATTACCTTTTAGTTTTTCTTTTCTTAAATTTTCAAGAGTAGATTTTTTTTCTTCCAGTACAGAGAAATCAGGAATTGTACTTTTGTTTTCCAAATCCTCTATTTCCTTAATTAATGATTTTTCTAATTTATCTTTTTCTCTTTTTTTGAAAGTTGAATATGATATAGTTAACCCCCTGATTTCCATTAGTAGTATGTCAAAAAATACAGAGTCATCAACTGAAGTCTCTACTTCTACTCCATTTAGGTCCTGAGAATACTGGTTTTTAACTAATTGTATTTTTTGTTTCACCTTTTCAACATACTCTTTATCATGTAAAAGATTATTGTTAAATTTCCATAGTCCACGTCCTCGTTCAAATAAATTAAACTTTAACTCAATTGTAACTGAAGAATGATCAGATCTATACCCAGGTTTTATATCAAAATGTTCAACAATATTTGATAGGTTTTCTGATATAAGGATGTAGTCAAGACGACCCTGCTTAACTGGATTTTTTCTTCTCCATGTATAAACTTTTTTATCTGGGTTAAGTATTCTATAATAGTCAACTAAATTCAAATCATTCATTATTTCAATAAGTTTATCTCTGGCTTTGGGGTTATTTACATTTGCATAATTAAATGTGTCTATGTTGGGATTCAATGCCAGATTAAAATCTCCACACAGGATAAAATAATCATTATCAAATTCTAAGAAATAATCCCTAACTTTTTCATAAAATTCAGGGCTATCGTAATTTGGGCCATAAATATTAATAATAGTAATTCTTGTAATGTTTTTGTTTTATATGAAAATATGTTATTGTTATAAGTAAAACTGAGATAAGAATTTTGTTTATCTGATAAGTCCTAACCATGGTACCTGATTAGCGCCCTTATCTTGGAAGTCTAATTAGTGTCCTAATTAATATGGTGCTTATCAGATACTATAAATATATTGTGTCTTGACACCTAACTATGGTGCAGAGGCCCTAATACTTGGAGCCGATTGCCCTAACAGGGTGCCCTAATGATGGAGCCGATTGCCCTAATGATGGAGCCTAATGCCCTAATAGGTGCCCTAATGATGGAGCCTAACGCCCTAACAAGGTGCCCTAATTCACGTTAGGTGTCAGGCAGGGTATATAAGGAGAGAGAGTCAGTGAGCAGATATACTAGAGATACATTGCTTGTGCTGGATTGTAAACTACGTTTGGATATTAATAATACACTTGTTGAAACAAACTTTGTCGTTGTTCTGATGTTAGATCTATAAAGATCTAAAGTTCCAATCTTATACACGGGATCCACAATATTTTGTGACGCGGGTAACAACAAAACACCCCATAGAGAGAAAAACGTTACAATTGGTGGCAGCGGTGGGATCCAAAGAAGTTATTCTACGTGTAACACCGGAACGGGACAGCACTTAGTTTGAAATGGAGACACCCGTCGTAAGGAGGAGAATTACGCCTAGAAAGGTAGGACAGTACTTCGACAGTCCAGCTCCTCTGAATGACTCTGGAATAGAGGTCGATGCAGGGTGTAGAACAAGTTTGCAGCCCACAAGTCGAGTAATGCCAGACAATCCTAACTTTCAGGAGTTCGGGCAAAACAGAAGTTCGGGCAAAACTCGCAGGGTCTTTCTGTTCAAGACAAGTACAATCCAAGACCAAGCTCTAAGAGAATCCTATTTATTTGGGTACTCTTTACCTTGATAGGATGTTCCCTGATGGTGATGACCTGGATCTATTTTCCAGAGAATGAGATCGTGCAGGAATCTCGAGAAAATGCAGTATTTTCTCTAATATCGATAACAAGTATGATATTGCTTGTTACGGTAGTCAGCGTATTATGGAGGTATGGATCCGGTCTGCTGATTGCCAGTAAGAAAAGGGAAATTTCTTTGACACCTAATGATACACCCTATACTGGTCGTAGTGCACTTAATGCCCCTACAGGTACCTATC